TCATTAGGAAAGAAATGAAAAGATTATAAGCATAATTTAAAAAATAAGTATTTCGATCAAAATGCTACTATAAAGATAATGATGAAAAATCTACCCTGTAATGTGATTAAGTGACAATATTAACAATTAGTTAGATTTTGGTTATCAAGAAAAAGGAGAGGTACTAATTTATAACTTTGTATAGTAGAATAAAATGATGAAAGTGTTTTATGCTTTAAGTTGGAATATTTACATTTCTATCATATACGTAATTATTTTTTATGAAAAAAAATAGAACAGATTGGGATTGATAGCAAAAAGTAACAAAAATATAACCACACAAGTGGATTAAAAAGTTTTGCAAGAAAGTAAAAAAAAAAAATAGTAAGTTTATGATTTTAAACTTTTTCCAATAAATGAACTTTTTGTACCGTTAAAAAGAAAATATGCAAATTAACAGTTATTATTCTGTTTTAATAGTTTTAATAGTTTCAATACATGATATTAAACTTATCGAAAGTTTTGAACTTAGTTGACACGGATGATATGTATGAAAAAGTTATTGTTTACGTATATTTAGGTAAAAATATTTATTATTATTGTTGTATTTTAACAGTTTGGATAGCTTCAATACTTGATATTAAACTTGTCCGATTGATTGAACTTGGTTTCTACGATAGATATAGGATAAAAAGTTATCGTTTATGTCTATTTAGGACTATTTTTGCATATATAAGGCAAGTATACAAATTAAACTTTTGGATCGCTTTCAACAGATTGAATAGCTTTAATCCATGATATTAAACTTGTCCAAATAATTGAATTTGATTTTCATGATCGATATCTGTGAAAGCCTAAAATGTTTTTATTGTTTGCATATGTTTAAGACTATTGTGTTGTTACAGGGCCAAAATATAAATACATGATATTAAAATTATTTAAAATTGTAATACATGATATGCATGGATAAGTTACGGTTGATATGCATGAATAAGTTATGGTTGATATGTATCCTATCAAATAACATATGTTTTTGTATAGGAGAATGAGATGGGCGATAAAATTGGACGTGTGAAACTTTTTCTCTTAACGCACAAAAAAAAAAGATGGATTTTATATGAATGTCGAAATATAAAAATTATGGTAATTTATAACATCTATTTTAACAAAAAGTAAATATTTACTCTAATATTTACTCTTTTTAACATATTATCAATTAATCATTAAACTTGATAGTTGTATATGACAATTTTACAGAAAAAAGCAAAAGAGAAAATGGCTGTTGAGATTGAAGTAGCATATGATGGTTCTCTCAACATGCAAGAATTGAAAAATCAGATATTCATAGAAATTGCTAGAAAAAAAAGGCATGGATGGGTCCAAGGCATTGGATTGGGTCTAACACCATCTATCTACTATGGACATAACTCTCAGTAATTTACATTCTCAGCAAGTCAGTCTTCACAAGACATTTCAATATTGAGAGAGGAGTTACAAACTATGCAACAGTGTTTTCAGCAAATGAAAGTAGAAAAAGAACATGAGCGTACCAAAATTGAGGAAGAATGTGCTAGAATGAAGTAAGAACGTGTAAAATTTTAGCAGTTGCATGATCGATTCAATCATCTTATGAATTTTGTGTAACAACAATTTTCAAAAACTAATTTCGGTGGTCCACCAACTCAGGTATTATATTTAGTAAATATTTATATCTTTTAATATAAAAAAAGCTTACAATGAAGTGTTAAAAATTATATGATATTATTCAATAGGTTCTTGAGCACATAGTGACCAAGGTGAAAAAATTTCTTCATCAATTGGCAGCCTTCAAAATCTATGCAGCCTTCAAAATCTATGCAGTAATCAATTTCATATATTTTAAATTTTATTTTGTTAATGTATTATAAATATTTGAATGTTATTATATTGATTATTAAACTATGTTAATTAGATGCATATTTGAACGCTAATTAAGTTTATATTAATTTCAGTTTCTGAATTTAAGCTCATTTATGAAAATAATAAATATTAACAGAATTTTTTAAAAAAATATATATTTTTTAATTTCGCAACGTTTGCGTTCAAGAATGTCGTTAAATGAATAATTTAGTGGCATTTGAATCATAAAATGCTACTAAAAGTAACGGCGCTCTTACTAGAAAACACTACTAAAATAGCGATATTTTTTTGATACAAACGCCACTAAAGCAACGACGTTTTTCTCATAAAAATGTCACTAAATTTACAACATTTCAAACATATAAACATTACTAATATAGAGATATTTTTAGATATAAACACTGCTAAAATAGCGACATTATCATATACAAACGTCGCCAAAACAATGACGTTTTTCTCATAAAAATATCACTAAATTAATGGCGTCTCAAATATACAAATGCCACTAATATTGCTGTGTTTTTTTGAAAACGCCGTTATTTTTCAAGACGCGTGTATAGTCGGACACTCTAACTGGTATTTTTTACAAACGATACAAATATTTTAATGGTGTTTATAAATGCCATTAAACGTTAAAAAAAAACACAACTAAAAACGTAAACCTCTATAGTGATAATTGTAACAGTGAGTTGAATTATGATGAAAAGAGAAATGACAATTAAAAACATTAAATTAAATTTTGTATGTAATAAAAAATTTAAATTATAAAATAATAATATTTTTAATTTTTAATATAATAATAAAAATTATTTTTATATTAAATTTAAAAATTTTATTTCATAATTTCTTAAATTAAAGAAAAATAAAAAAAAAAAGTAAAACTATTAATATATGAAAACAGTTGAGGATAAAAACGAGAAAAAAAACACCCCCAATCGGCCACTGGAGGGTTCCCTCTCTAGTTGCCAGTTGAAGGTGCAGGCAGTGAAATTATTCGACCGTGCCACATTGAAAGAATGCCAAACGAATTATCGGTGTGATTGAAGCCAAAAAGTGGCTTTAACTGTGCCGCACTGACTCTTTGGTGGCTTTTAAATTATGCCAAATTCAGTTTGATTTTTTTGGTTTTCCTTAAATACATTGATCGATTTTGTTTGTATAATAGATTAAGTTGATTAATTCAATTATTCAATTTTTACAAGAATTAACCATTAGCTCAACCCTACTTTTATGTGTTTAGTCGGCAAAGCGCATGGGAAGCGCTCCTTCCCTGCAGAACTGGCCGAATTAGAGCTATATATGCAATGAGAAGTTTATCAAAATGATGTATCACAACATGGTAATTGGATGCTCAAATTCAAAGATGCAAACACGTGTTAAAATATGATCCATTAATAAAATATTAAAATTTTAATTTAAATGATTAAAATTTAAATCTCGACAGTTTTAAGCATAAAAAATATAAATGTATCATAAAGTAATGGCTTTAAGGCCAATTGAACTTTAAATCAATTGATATGGTATTAAAGCTGACATTTAATAATTGTATATTTTAAAAAGTTTATGTGCATAATATTTTTTTTAATCGAATACATATACAAAGGTAAATTAAAAATTAAAAAAAAAAACGCAGCTTTAAGAAAATCCCAGTGATAATAGCATGTGGTAGTTTAGATAGTAAATTTGGGGTTATTGATTTGAGTAAAAACTAATAAAGCATTGAAGAATAGCAACGTCCGGCATAGACAGTGAAATCAAGTGACTTCACCATAACTGCAGCAGAAAAACTAATAAAAATAACATCCCAGCATCAGGATGTCACTCCTTCCATTAAGATTTTTCAACTCAATGGCAGTTCAAACTGCTCTGATTTCTAGAAGAAAAGGTAGCTCAGATGCAAGTTCGCCATAATGTGCTGTTAATGGCTTCACAATGACTAAGCTAAATCAAAGTTAAACAGCAGAAGGCAGAGGAAAGCAGAGAAGACAGAAGAAGAATACAAGTTTAAAAAGAGAAGCAAGACATCAGAAAACAATCAACCTTTCCTCTTCCTTCCTCAAATATGTCTTTGAATCACGCTAATATTGATTCTGTAAATCCATTTAACTAGTCTAGGAAAGCAATTTAAACGAAGACATTTCGGAGGATCACTGTTAGTCAAATGAAAATACATTAAAGAAACTGACAATCAAGAAATTGTGATAGATGACAGAAATATAATGCAATTTTACGCTTTCATGCAAGTTGTATCTCAAATCTTGAACCAGAAGAAATCAAATATGTACTACAGGGATTTCCAAAACAAGAGAGCATTAAATGCCAGTAATAAGTTGATACTAGTAAGTTTGAGGTACATAAGTTAATCCACAAGATAAAACTCAAGAGTGGTCCTTCACGACCATGGAAGAAATTTATGAAACATTGCTGAGATGAATGCCATATTCCTCTGCACTAATCAAGCCCCCACGTACCCATGTGGAGGAAAAAAATATACAATATAGTTGCTGCTATTGTGACCATAGGAGGAGGAAATTTCATGAGAAGACTAGCAGAGAGCAAAAAGGAAAAGATCAACAAACCATGGGCGATAAGTACCCGAGCAGGTGAACCCCTTAAATGCTATCCTCTAAAAAATTGCAGGAAAAGAAACAAATTAGGAAATATATAATGCAAGGCACCTGATAAGCATTTCCTAGGTACAAAGATTGCACTTCAGTCTAAACCCAGGAAATGGTGATTAAGTTATAAATGGTGCACATTCAAAGGACCAATACTCCATTATTGCTTAGTAATAAAAGTCTATAAACTGATTTATAAAGAAAGTGTAACTGGAAACCATACAGTCCATGCACAGATATGCTGCAACTCCTAACATCATAGTACTGGAAAACACCTAAAACTCCCTTGAACAAGAGCTGCAGAAGAAGACTATCCTGAAAGCTACTCAAAGAACCTCCCTTAGTCAACTACCATGTGGTCCGTTAGTAAAGTGCTGAAGTTAAAAATTTCAGTAAACAGAAATCAAACATGATAACCTCAACTACAAAATAATAATAATAATAACCTCCCGTCCCTAGTGAATAATGACAGTTATTATTGTCAATTACCAAATTGAACCCCCTTTTGTTAACAAACCGGTGAAATCATCAATGATTCAACAATATATAGAGTAAAACTATAAGAAAGCCCTGGAAATCAGGTGGACAACGCCTTCTGATCATAATACCACCAAGAATTTGAAAGGATTTAATATGTAAATATACACCCAGGAAAATTTTTCCAGGTAATAAAAATTCAGTTTTATAAAAAAAATATCTCCCTTTTAACACAAAAATTGAAATTTTATTTCACACATACCTTGAATACAAGCAAGAAAAACATAAAGAAAAGAACAACAACAAACAAGAGCCCGACCCGACTGCCAGAATCACCACCACCCGTAGACAGCTTGTGTGTACTTATCTTTAAGCCACCTAAAGCTCCTCCTCAAGGACCCTTTGACCCTACCTTCCATACTATACATCTTGTAGCTAGCAACCCTTTTCTTCCTCTGGAATTCAGGGTCAGCAAAGCTCCACGACTTTGAAGAAGATGAGCCAGAAGTACTTTTCCCTTTCTTCAACTTGAAGTCCCTGTTGTTTCCAGTGTTATAGTTGTCAGCCATCTGGGACTGAGTACAGGAAGCACTATAGCACCTGAGATCATAAGAAGCTGAAGGCCTAGATGGTCCATGGTAGGTATCCAGCTGCATCATCCCATTAACATACGATCTTGATCTGTTGTAATCTTCCATTGAATTTTGGCAGACTCAAGAGAGATCGTGAAGGTGGCAGTGGCCTGGTGGGGGGGTTGTTTTGATAGTTGAGTTCCTTTGATCTTGACAGATAAGGAACGGAACAAGAGTAGGAGAAACTGTGGGATACCATAAGAATAGAAAAGCTATGGAGGTGATAAAATAGTTATACCTTGGATTAATATAAGTTGGTTTTTTATTTTTTATTTGTTACATTTGCTATTAACTTTCCCATTTTCCTCTCCTGTGACTGACTTTGGGAGACATGGAATTGATTCTAGACGGCGTGTTTAACCGGGAATCATGCTGTCTACGGCAATTATTTATGTTCTCCTTGGTACTATACATTTGCATTGACCAGTCATACTGTGAATCAGTAACTACTTATAAATTATCTTTTTGAAAAAGAAAACTCGTTTTGATTGCTCAACGAGCTTTACCTTTCTCTTTTGCTCGTTTTAAATTTAAAATAACTAAAGGTCCTTTGATGGTCAATGTCCTTGCCCTGCATTATGGGAGTCTAGTATTTTTTGAAGACTCGTACCATTGAATCATATTTATTTTATATGAAATGCGTATATAATATGAATATATCATAATTTATATGGCTAAGTTATTAGATTCATATATATAAATTTTATTAAAATTTTAAAGCATATGATTTTCATTTTTTTTGTTTCCCTGTAGAATCATCATGTTCATATCTGTTTTTTAGACAGGTCTAAATTTTTTTCAGGTATGTTTCAGGAGAGATTTGACGGTTAGAGACTTAAAGTCCAATACTCTGTTTCTGCATTTTATTTACTACTAGTAACTGGTAATAGCCCTGCATAACGTGAGTATAACAGAGACTGAAACTGAAAGTTACTGTTAAACTGCGCCTTTCATTCAACTATTTTTGCGTTTGTCTGTTCCATCAATAACTAAGATCAACTGATTAAAAAACCACAAATAACAAAAATCACCTCTAACAACCCGAAACCAACATCCAACCTGTTGTTGTTTTTATGTCGCTTGTTTCTCAAACCAAAACCAGCTCACTAATCCATCACGTTGGCTTTGAAAATAATTTCTCCCAAACTCAATACCCTTTGAAGCAGTCCAAAAACTCAACTTCATTCTTTTTTCTTACTCGTTGAAAGCTTGACATGAGAAATTTAGGCATAACTCGCATGCATTTGGGGTCCCAAAATGCTTTCATAAGTCTTTTTGGAAGTCCTTTCTGATATTAAATGCAACCTTGTTATACAATACCCAAACCTAAAACCCAATAGTTAAGCAAACCTAAAACCCAATAGTTAAGCAAAGGAAAGGCCAGCACTTTTTTCTTGGAGGAGCATTAAAGTTAGTGGCATCATCCTTTTTATATGCTTTGGAACACTTCTTATCCGCGGTTTACCCTACGGGCAGTGGCTTTAATCATCGATAGTGATAAGCTGCATCAGGGGCCTGGCTCCACAAAAGTTATCAACTTTAACGTAATTGTAGGACGAGAGGCTTTTGCTCGGTGGAAGTGGAGAAGCTAAGTGCTAACCACATTATATGGGCGAAAAGCTAAAAAGTCAGTAGGCCAGACAGCCCAGGATTTTAGCAAAGGCTCTAAAACGGATGAGGATGACCAAGAAATAGTTCAACCAATATCTTAAGCACTCGTTGCTCAGATAGACTTTCCAATCAAAGAGTATCTATTTGCCTCAAATAGATAGATCACATTATCTTACCTTAGCTGTAAAGCACTTCCGCAGCCTCTAGAGGCAGAGAGGATTCCCTGGATCATGTTCACCATTCACTCACTAGCGTGTTTCAGAAAAATTGAACCCAAGAAACGATTTTGAGACCAAGGGAGCCAGACAGCCTCACCCCCTCAGAATTTGTCATTAGGTCTTGCTTCAGCAGAGATCAGCACAATTTCCGTATCTGAAAGAATGCTAAACACCACGGGCCAAGCCTAGATGAATAGAACCTCTAGATCAGACCAAAACTCTCAAACAATCATGCCAATTCAGTAGCTAGAGAGCGGAAATGAATTAACTTACCACCATATCAATAAAAATCCGAGTCCAATGTTCTAAAATAATCACGCTCCCACTCTACATAATACTCTCAAATACAGAAACTAGAGTAGAAAAATAAAAACACAGATAAAGCAACAAGATTTAGAATAAAACTAGAACAATGCTACATACTTTTCTTACTTAGACACCAAATCAAAATTTGAACATCAGATGCTAAATGGTAAAGGGAACCCATCTCATTCTGCAGGAACAAAAATCTCTTCCAGCTGTAAGGGCAACAGACCACTAATACTTGTCATTTCCAAGGAGCCATTTACCCAGCCAACTCAAAACAGCATCAAATAAGATCAGCAACATTTGATGGAAGCTCCTCCACAACAACATTGTAAAACTTCTGGATGTCAAATAGCATCCTTTCATCATCCCTGGTCACAAAGTTGATGGCAACACCTTTTCTCCCAAATCTTCCACTACGACCAATTCGATGAAGGTAGTTCTCTGGTTGTGTTGGGAGATCATAATTGATCACAAGAGAGACTTGCTGAACATCAATACCACGAGCCAAGAGATCAGTGGTGATAAGTACACGAGAGGATCCAGATCGGAATTCTCTCATGATGATGTCCCTTGTATTTTGGTCCATATCTCCATGGGTAGCAGACACTGTATGGTCACGACTCCGCATCTTGTCTGTAAGCCAATCTACCTTACGCCTAGTATTCACAAAAATGACACTTTGGGTGATTGCCAAGGTCTCATAGAGATCACAAAGCGTCTCAAGCTTCCATTCCTCCTTCTCAACATTGACATAAAATTGCTTGATACCCTCAAGGGTAAGCTCATCACGTTTCACCAGAATCCTGACAGGTTTGTTCATAAACTTCCTTGTGATCTCAAGGGCTTCAGGAGGCATTGTAGCAGAGAAAACCCCTACTTGAATTTGTGGTGGCAGTAACTGGAAAATATCATAGATCTGGAACATACAAATAGCAGAAGTCAATAAAACAACAAACCAAAAAACAGAGAATCACAGCAAAAGCTTGAAAAATACCAATCAAAAAATTTTCACAATTCCTACATACATTTTTGAATGTTAATTGGTTCTTAAGCACGAACATGTAAAAACCTGCTTAAATGTTCATTATATCCAATAATTAGCTTTACAACCAAAGCCATCATCTTCTAGGCAAAGCATAAGAAAAAAAATATACATAAAGCTTATAAGTGAAAAATGGACCTGATCCTTAAAACCTCGTGAGAGCATTTCATCTGCTTCATCCAACACAAACATCTTTATGTTATCAGGGCGGAGAGATTGCCTCCTTAACATGTCAAACACACGGCCAGGTGTACCAACAACCACATGAACCCCACTTGAGAGAATCCGTTGATCTTCACGAACAATGGTCCCACCTACACAAGCATGAACCTTAACACCAAGGTAGTCACCTAATGCCCGCATAACCTTCTCAATTTGTTGTGCTAATTCTCGAGTTGGTGCAAGGACCAATGCTTGGCACTGAATTAAGCTGTAGTCAAGTTGCTGTAGAATTCCAGAGCAAAAGGTTGCCGTTTTTCCTGTTCCAGACTGTGCTTGTTGAATTACATCAAGTCCCTTGCAGAATGGTACAATCCCCCTTTGCTGAATTGCAGATGGCTTCTCAAAACCTTCAAAGAAAATTTTGACCTAGCAATCATCTTTCACACTAGCCATGTAAAGGAGTAAATTCTTGGACAATAAAAATAAATGAAACTGTTGCTAGAACATTAAAGTCCGCATTTTCACTATGGCAAATCATAGGATCTTAATAGAACATAAATATGAGCTAAAACCCAAACTGGCAACAAACTAATTGAATTTGAATCACTTGCAAGGCCTAATTAGTTATAACATTGCTACCAGACACAGCAAATCATCAGAGTATCACTCTCTTCCCTCTTTGAAGTTTTGATTAACAAAGTAGTAGGATCCAACTTACCATAAGCATAAATGCCCCTAAGAAGATTCTCTTGCAATCCCATTGCATCAAAAGTGTCATAAACCTCATCGTATGTAGTAAAGAAATCTTGGCCATCGGCTTCAAGTCTGCTCATATCAGTTTACCAAACCAAGCCTTAGATTCCTCTCACAAAATCTGAAGCTTAGCAAACTATAAATGCAGAAGCTAAATAATCATATAAACCATGAAGAAACATAACAACCATGGTGCTACCACCAATGAGTCTGAAAGCTTAAATAACTAGAAATAATACAAGGAAATAGGAAACTTACTCATTCATTCTAGCATCATACTGGCGAGCATCAAATTGAGATCCCTCTGGTGCTGCAGCAGCCATGTCTGCAAGGGGCAACCCATATAAATAAGTCATACAAAATTAAAAATTCCATGTCTATTTCATGTAGCGTTCTCGCCAGCAAGATCCAAGCATCAGGAAGAGGACAATTGAGTTTATTCTTAATTAGAAAAATTCACCAAGGCACCACAACAAGTTCACCTATCTTGTATTTCTTCATGGTGCTAAATGCTAATAAGGTCTATGATTGTTTACGATACAAAAGACAGTCGTGCTTATCCTTAATCCATTATACTTAAAACCTGTATAATATATGTGTGAAGTAAAGGTAGAGAATCACAATTGCACAAGCAAGACAACCAATTTAAGCATTTGAAGTATATTTTGATGAACAGGCTGCAATAATTCAGCGAAGAACAATCCAAGTACCAAACTGAAGATCTGTCGGATTAAAGCAAAACCGATGTCCAAAACAACAAAAACAAGTCGGTTTCCATTCTTACACGTTGATTCTTCAAGCAAAACATAATAACAGAATAAAAAAGAAAAAACTTATCATACTAAGCAAATACTGCAATAAAAAAGAAAGCTGAAATATAACGATAGCAAAAAAGGAAAAATTACCTGATAATGAATATGATTGAGAGAAGCTAGAGAGCTGTAGGTGATATCTTAGGGTTAGGGTTTTGGCTCGAACCCCTCGGATCTCTCTGTATCAGGATGTAATGCAAGAAATAGAAGGCAGAGAGAGAGACTAGATAGACAGAGACTAGGGAGACTAAAAGAAAAAGAGACTCACCATACCACCTTTCCTTTTCCGTTTTCACGATTTTACCCCTTTGCAGCCATTCTGCGGCGTCGTTTTGATTTTATTTTTAATATGCTATCCAAATAAAAAACAAACCTGCTATATTTTCCTTTAAAAAAAAAAAACCCCAATACGGTAAACTTGTAAGAAAAATGTGCACATGAAATCATGAGAATGGGATTCTTAAATAAATTAGTGGTAGTATAAAATATTTTTTTGGGTCTACTATCGATTATTTTGAACCATATTGATCCATATAAGATTTGCTTTATTTATAATCTTTTTATTTATTTAATTTATTTAATTAATATCTAATATTTTGTCATGATCATTTTCATTATTTTATAATTTCATTCAAAAATAAAATCTATTTATTAAATTAGGCTATTAACTTGTTTATTAATAATTTATTATGTTTTTCTAATATTTTTATATTTATTTTATTTATTTGATATTTAAAAATTATGGATATTAAGTATTTATATTTGCATGTGAACATATACATATATGTAATGAAGATGTATTTTTATGTGAAAATAAGATAATATTTTATTAAAAAATTCGAAAATGACTTATATATATGAAAAAAATTGCAAAAATACCGATAAATTTAAAACGATACATGAAAATATGTCGGCATCAGTGCACGTTAGTACCAGAATAAAAATAAAAAAGATACGCTACTATGGTATTGACTACTTTATCCAAGTACGATGAATTACATAAATATATATAACTTTACTTTTTGTATATTAAAAACAAAAAAAAAAAGAATAAACTGAAAATGCTTTATCATAGGCCATTTGGCGGCCCAACCCAAACATGCATAGCAGGCCAATCAGCCAGCTACTTTAAGGTAAATAAAGGAAGGAGCAATTTCATTACCAAGCACTCCACGTGGCATGCATTGCTAATCCAACAATTGTAAACCGTCATTTCAAAGAATAATCACCGCACGTTGGTACAATTCATTACGTGGCGTAATCTAAACGGGCATTACAAATCATATACATACAACCGACTCCAGTAAAACAAAACTCTCCCACATAAGTTTCGATTTTCGAATTTATGTCAAATTTAATGTTCCAAACCAAAAACAACTGGGAATAATAAAATAAAAAATAAATTTGTAATTTGTCGCATATAAGCACGTTTGCTTCTCCGATTCTTCGCTAACTCGATAGCTCCAAAACTTCACACGCAAACTGCTGTTCGTGTCCAAGAAGAACCGTTCTTCAAATCCGATTAGAGTTTTTCTTCGAAAACCTCTAACCTTAAAATTTTCAGTTTCTTGTTTCAGTTTAATTTCGGAAAAAAAAGAATTAAACCAAACAGGTGATCTTCGAGTCTCTGCTTCTGTTATTTGCGCTCTTTGCTTTTTTCTCTTCTCGAGTCTTTTTTTTATTAATAAATCGTGTATTTTTTTGTTTAATTTATAACACTAATCTGTCTTTTGATGTTGTGGCCTAAAAGAATCTGTCGTTTGATTAATTACAAATATGTATAACGTGAGGCGCTGTTTGGTTGGTTTTGTTACATTATGGTTTGGTAATTGTTGTGATCAGTGTTTTTGAGTTCTGTTTATTTACAATTATTGTTGATTATGTTTAAAAATCAGTGGTTAGGGAGATTCATCAGGATTCTACTTCACTGACAAAATTGCATGATGGATTAATTAGTTTTGTATTATTTTTAAAATTTTTATAGCATGCTTAGTATATATGATAGGTTGCCTATATTTGGTTTAGATTCGATTGCTTAAGAGTTTTACTTTATTTTTCTAAGAGAATTTACGTTGCTAAAATTTTGAAAATTTATGTTCCATCTGTTACATTCACTCTGTATTAACTGCTTCGTATTTAAAGATTTCAGGACTTAATTATCTGCTCTTTCATTCTCTAAAATGCTTTACTTGTTAGGTTCCTTATATTTCCACCATTCCGTGTATGTAAACTTCTCTATGAACATTTCTTAAGCACTAAAACACATCATCATTGTATAAATGGGTCATTCTGGAGTATAAGGAAACGGCTTGTATATTTTGCATAAGATTTTATCCCTGAATAAAATTGGTATGCTTGCACCTGAACATTTATATCAAATAGAGATTCTCGTTTGTTTTCGAAAATGCCGTTTTAGTTGTGGGAAGTTATTTATATGTTGCTCTCTTATGCATATGGCACTGCATTGATAGAGTTGGGAGATGTGAAATCTTATATTGGTTGTATGGCTCTGTTATAGATATCTTACCATCTCTTATGTGATGTGTTTTTGTTATTTATTGTTACTGGTTACAGTCATGGCTGGACTTGCACCTGACGGATCACAGTATGACTCTCGTCAATATGACAGCAAAATGAATGAGTTGTAAGTTTTACATTCACCTCCAATTTTTATGTCATTAATTCTTAGTCATGTGTTAATTGTGCCAGATTTGTCTTATATTGGCTCATGATTATAGCCTTTCTGATGACGGAAAAGAGTTCTTTACTACTTATGATGAGGTCTATGAGAGCTTTGATAAAATGGGTTTAAAAGAAAACCTCCTAAGAGGCATCTATGCTTATGGTAATCTTATTCTTTTCTAGTCATTTGGCCTCTCTATTGTTTAACAAAAAACAAAGCTTATGCTGAGGGCCCAAATTTATGTCATAATTCTTCCACACAGGTTTTGAGAAGCCCTCTGCAATTCAACAAAGGGGAATTGTGCCCTTCTGCAAAGGTCTAGATGTAATTCAGCAAGCACAGTCTGGTACTGGTAAAACGGCAACATTCTGCTCTGGGATCTTGCAACAGCTGGATTATGATTTATTACAATGTCAAGCTTTGGTTCTTGCTCCGACTAGAGAGCTTGCACAACAGATTGAGAAAGTCATGCGTGCTCTAGGTGATTATTTGTATGTAAAGGTTCATGCATGTGTCGGTGGAACCAGTGTTCGAGAGGATCAAAGGATCCTTGCTGCTGGTGTTCATGTTGTTGTTGGTACTCCTGGTCGTGTCTTTGACATGCTTCGCAGGCAATCCCTTCATGCAGATTCTATTAGGATGTTTGTCCTGGATGAGGCTGATGAAATGCTCTCTCGGGGTTTTAAAGATCAGGTCAGTATTTTGCCTTCGATAGTAGTAATGGTTGAGCATAATGGTTAAGTGTAACCATTTGTTGACAAGAGTTTCTTGTTGTAATGATGATGATCATGACGATGATAACACTTTACCAATAAACTACGGCTATATGCTTCATAATCAATTCAACTAGGAATATAAAAGATGGTAAGGGTCTTGCTTAAAATGAAGAAGAGGATGAAATCTAGGAGACTATGACCTTCTGTATTAGAAGACATGTTGAGAACTGGTAGTATTAATAGTTAATATATTGTTGACAATGTTTATTCTACTAATTTGATGATGATGATTCTATAACAATACATTTCAGCAAGTACCTAGGTTTTTACCAACAGATTTGGCAAGTGAAACCAAAGGAAAGTTGGCAGTGTATGCTTAAATATCCATGGGATACTTTATAGCTCTAGGAAGATGTTGAGTCTCTTCTGGTGATCTTTGCTAGATTGCATATCTTAGAGATGAGGTTAAGATATTCCAAACAGTAGTCAGTCATAGACTTTTCTCTTTTCTTGTATGACGATGAAGATATAGTATTATGTGTGATTATGCTGTATGCACTACTTTGTATGCTTTTTGGAATTATTTTATAGCAGTTATGTTTGGATTCGTAATTTGTGTCTGGAAATTTTTTATAAGCCTTGGAGATTCAAATTCCCTTATGTCTGAGAATGATTTATTACTGTCTTATGCTTTGCTCCAAAATTATTACCTAACTTTAAGCCCCACTCACCAAGATCTCTTATTATTATTATTTGCTTCTGGAAGAGTAAACATGTCCATTCTACTTGGCATTGTCATCAACTATATATATGTATACGCTGTCTGTCTATTCGCTTCTAGATGGCCTTTACTTCTCACTATTAATATAACTTTCGTGATTGATTAACCCTAATGCCTTCTTATTCAGATCTATGATATCTTCCAGCAACTCCCTGGGAAAATACAAGTTGGTGTATTTTCCGCAACAATGCCACCTGAGGCTCTTGAGATTACACGGAAGTTTATGAACAAACCTGTCAGAATTCTAGTAAAGCGTGATGAGCTCACCCTTGAAGGTATTAAGCAGTTTTATGTTAATGTTGACAAGGAGGAGTGGAAGCTTGACACACTTTGTGATCTCTATGAAACTCTGGCCATCACTCAGAGTGTGATCTTTGTTAACACCAGACGCAAAGTTGATTGGCTTACCGACAAAATGCGGAGCCGTGATCACACAGTCTCTGCCACCCATGGAGACATGGACCAGAACACAAGAGACATTATCATGCGGGAGTTTCGTTCAGGATCTTCTCGTGTGCTAATCACCACTGATCTCTTGGCTCGAGGGATTGATGTCCAACAGGTCTCCTTGGTTATTAACTATGATTTGCCGACTCAACCAGAGAACTATCTTCACCGCATTGGTCGAGGTGGAAGATTTGGGAGGAAGGGTGTTGCAATCAACTTTGTAACGCGAGATGATGAAAGGATGCTTGCTGACATTCAGAAGTTCTACAATGTAATGATTGAGGAGCTTCCTGCAAATGTTGCGGATTTGATCTGATTGGGCCTCCATTTTTATACACATGAGAAAAGATGTCTGTTTGTTTTAGTTAGGGGAAAATATTGAACTGGGTTTGCTATTTTTGACTTCATTATAATCATTGTTGTTGTTATAATTAGCCATTATCTTTTTTTGTTTATTTCTCTTTTTGGTCTCCTGAGTTTTTGGGAAAATCTTGTTTAATTATCGTTATATTCCGAGACAAATTTTTGATTAAAAACAGAGATGAATGTGTTTTATTTCCCCAATTTCTTTCTCCATAAAACAAAAGACAAGAATAGGGAGATCACAATCCACATCTCTGTAAATGCTCTTTTCAGCTACAATGTTTCTTTTTTCTTTTCTTTTTTTTTAAGGGAAAATCTTA